CCGGAGGACGCTCGCGCTCGCGGGCGGGGTGTTGGTCGCTGGCTCGGCGATCGCGTACGGCGTGTGGACGTATAAGAGTCTGCCGCCGTGGGGCCTGCGGACGCAGACGTGGATGGCGGAGAAGAAGGGGCTCGGTAGGTTTGGCGATTTGGGCCAGATGCTCAATTTTTCGCTGGGGCTCGCGGACCCGGTGCCGCAGGCGAGCCCGGCTGCTGGATGGGGTTCGGAGCATAGGTATGTCGAGTCTGAACTGGCTGTTGATTAAGGCTGGAGAGACACTTTGAGCATAAGATAATGCGGTGAGTATCAAGATAGGTTTGGTAAAAAGGAGGCATAGCTGGCCGCAACATGGCTTATCAGTCACAAGACGAAAAGGTGGGCATATAGATCATTCGCAACTCCGGAGTCAGGGGTAGCATGTACGAAAAGGCCACGTGGTTCGCGGCTGCCCAAAGATGTACAATACTGTCTCGATTATGTTGGTTTACACATAAAACCGTTCATCATACACCATGCTATTTTTTTCAATGCTTCCTGTGCCACTTATGCCGACCTCGAATGCCCTTATACTTGAACACGGGCGCTTTTAGTTCTACACACGATGAAAACGACCCTCATCATCTAGTCTCATCTTTCTGAGGCTCCTTAAATCTGCCGAATCTCCTTTCCGACCATCTCGGGCCTCTCAACCTCCCACTCGTCACGCAGCACCGCAAACGTGAGATCGCTGACGAGCAAGCTCTGTCCCAAGCTCCAGACCAACGTGATGGCGTAGAAGAAGTTTGCGTTTCCGCTACCGGCGTAGATCCACAGGTGGTAGAAGGCCGGGCCGAGGAACGAGGCGTACATGATTGTCGCGGCGCCGACAAAGGTATACCGCATGAGCGGGAAGACGTGCCGGAAGAGGGACAGCATGGCCAGGAACAAGCTCGTGTCCGCGATGGACGGGTACGGCTTGAAGATGGCAAAGATGCCGAGGAGCAGCGTCAGCACGACGAGCGGCTGCGTGCGGATGCGGATCGTCAGGGGCCCGACGTAGCTCGAGAGGTGGAGCCAGAAGACGGCGAGGAAGAAGGGCCGGAAGGAGTCGAACATTTCGACGAAGAAGTACCACCACAGCCCGACGTTGGGGGTCAGGTCGTTGAGGGTGAGCTGGGCGCCGTAGGTGCTGGGGAGGAACTCCCAGGAGCCGCCGGTGAGGAGGAAGGACATGAGGAAGAGGGCGGCGAGGACGGCGGCGGCGACGGAGACGTTTGCGAGGGCGAAGCGCCGGGTCGAGGCGGTGCCTCGTCGGATCGGGTCCTGGCGGTCGTAGGCGAGGAGGATGAGGGGCGGGAGGAGGAGGGCGGGGTACATTGAGAAGTAGGTGGCGAAGGAGAGGGAGACCATTGCGCTGAGGGGGTAGCCGGCGATGGCCTTTGCGATGGCGTGGAGGATCGCGCATGTCGAGAAGACGGAGGTGGAGCGGCCGATGCAGGTTGCTATTGTGAAGGGGTTGAAGAGGTAGCTGTGGTGAGGTTGTGTTAGGCCAAATGTGCGTTGATGATGCGAGCAAGGGGTAAGAGTTGGAGCTTACAGCGATGCGACGACGAGGCCGCTCCACCTCTTGCCGCGGCGGGGAGAGGAGAAGAGGCGAGATGAGCCTGCTTCGCCAGAGTCTGCGATGTTGGAGAGGGCATCCGCGCTCAGGATGTCGACGAGGATGTAGACAAGGTATGTGAAGATCGGGAACGACTTCAGGTCCGGGAGGAGGGAGAAGAGGGGGAGGAAGAGGGGCGCCTGGTGGTATACGCCGCCGTCGTAAGGGGAGACATTGTGGTTATAGAGGAAAAGTCCTTCTTGTACTGTATTACCACAAACCGTCAGTCAAGATTCCTTGCTTCGATTGGGATCCGGGAGAGGGGAGGCTTACATCGCTTGAAGCTCGTGACGGGGGTTGAGATCTCGACGCGGCCGGTAAGCAGGTCAGGCAGGCCGGGGAACGCGACGAAGAGCAGCAGACGCAGCGCTGCTGCGGCGGCGTAGACGCCCGTCTTGCTGCCTCCCTGTGTACTTGTTCCGACGGTCATCCTTCAGTCCATGGTCCGGGGCGGGATGTGTCGAGATGCGGGCTCACGGGAGCTTCAGAGGTTCGCAGTGTTATTGGAGTTCGGGGCGGGAGTCGGGATGAATAAGGTGTGGTAGGTAGGGACGGGGGTCGAGGTGGATGACACCTGGTGCTTCGGCCGGGGCGCAGGTCCGCTGGGTGCGGGAAGCTTGTCCAGCGAATGGCAATCCACCGTCCAGCGCAGTCGCACTTGGTTTAGTGGGTTGAACCCCTGGAGCTGGGGCCATTGTGCTGATTAGATAACGGACGCCAATCAGCGATAAGGATGACCGAGACTAGTCCTATCCCGGCTGGCGAGGGAGCGGTCAGCCGCTGGCAGAAAATTTCAATGGAAAAAAAGTTCAGAGAGAAACTCGAGAGCGGTGCCCCGCCACAGCGAGAAGTACTGGAGAGCTTCTGAACTCGTCCAAGAACACACACCCTTCCAAACCAAGTCAATTTTCCCAACAACATAACCACGCCCATTCGCAAAAATGGCGGGCAGAGTCAAGAAGAAGGGAGAGGCCGGAGCGGCCAAGAACTATGTCACTAGAAACCAGGCCATCCGCAAGCTGCAGATCAGCCTGCCCGACTTCCGCAAGCTCTGCATCTGGAAGGGAATCTACCCTCGCGAGCCGCGCAGCAAGAAGAAGGTCTCCAAGTCCTCGACCGCCTCGACGACTTTCTACTACGCCAAGGACATACAGTACCTCCTTCACGAGCCGCTGCTGCTCAAGTTCCGCGACCAAAAGGCCCTCGAGAAGAAGATTTCGCGCGCGCTCGGCCGCGGCGATGTTGGCGATGCGAAGCGCTTGGAGAAGAACGCCGCCAGGCCCGAGGAGACTGGCAAGCCGAGATACACCCTCGACCACGTCATCAGAGAGCGATACCCGACATTTGTCGACGCCTTGAGGGACCTCGACGACTGCCTGTCCATGCTCTTCCTTTTCGCCAACCTGCCTTCGACCTCGTCCGTTCCCGCAAAGATGATTGCGCGCTGCGAGCGGTTGACCCTCGAGTTCCAGCACTACCTCATTGTGTCGCAGAGCGTCACCAAGTCCTTCCTTTCGATCAAGGGTATCTACTACCAGGCGAACATCAACGGCGAGGATGTCTTGTGGCTGGTGCCTTACAAGTTCAACCAGAGGGTTGTTGGCGATGTCGACTTCCGCATCATGGGAACCTTTGTCGAGTTCTACATGACGCTCTTGGGCTTCATCAACTTCCGTCTGTACACCGGCCTCGGCCTCAAGTACCCGCCCAAGTTTGACCAGACCAAGGACAACCAGTCTGCCGAGCTTGCTGCCTTCACCATTGAGGGCCAGAACCTCGCCGCCCCCGAGGAGCCGAAACAACTCACCAACGGCGAGACCGAGCACAGCGTCGACCCCAAGACCCAGGCCGCGGTTGACAAGGTCATCAAGAAGCTCAAGTCTTCGGATGCCGACAAGGAGGAGAGCAAGTCGGAGGAGCAGACCGAGTCCGCAGAAGAATCCACAAACGCCATCGACAAGTTCGAGCCCGCGGCGCCCGGCGGTGACGTCCTGCCCCAGCCCGTCCACTCGAGCACCGACAGAAACAAGCTCTTCGCCCACTGCACATTCTTCCTCTCCCGTGAGACTCCCAGGCAACCCCTGGAGTTCCTCCTGCGGTCGTTCGGCTGCAAGCGCATCGGCTGGGACGCCGTCCTCGGCGAGGGTGCCTTCACCACCGACGAGCGCGACCCGTCCATCACCCACCAGATCGTCGACCGTCCCCCCATTTACGCTGCCAACAGCGAGGAGGGCGATGGCGAGGACAACCAGACATCTCAGAAGCTCGCGCCCAACCAGCGCATCCCCGGCCGGATATACGTCCAGCCCCAATGGGTCTGGGACAGTGTCAACGACGAGGAGCTCAAGCCGGCGGACCAGTACGCCCCCGGCGCCCAGCTCCCTCCCCATCTCAGCCCCTTTGTCAGGCAAGTGCAGGGCGCGTACGACCCGACCATCCCCCTCGAGGAGCAGGAGCCCGAAGGCGAGGCCCTGGCCGAGAGCGACGAGGAGATGGCCGACGACGTGGACGCCGGCGACATGGACGTTGCCGGGTCCGACGAGGAAGAGGAGGGCGAAGACGGCGAGGGCGGCTCCGACGTTGACGGCGTCTCCGAGGACGAGGACGACGTCGGCTCCGAGAACGACGACGCCGACGCGCAGCGCCAGCTCGAGCTCGAGGCCGAGCTCACGGGCGGCGCGGTCCAGGCCAAGGAGACCAAGCCCAAGACCAAGAAGGAGGCGGCCCGCAAGGCGCACGCCAAGAAGGTGGCCGAGGAGGCGGAGGATATCGAGCGGGCCAAGGGCATGCTGAGCAAGAAGAAGAGAAAGCTGTTTGAGCAGATGCAGTACACTAATAACAAGAAGAGCGCGCAGGACGAGAAGCTGCGTGCCAAGAGGAGAAGGCTGGAGAGGGAGGCCGCGAACAAGAAGGCCAAGGCGTAGAGGATGATGAATGTGTTTGCGGTGAAGAAGAAGAGGGAGGAGAGAAAAGCTTGTTTTGTGTTTCTGTTTTATTCTAGAATGTGTAGTAGGCGTTTGTTATACCATAATTGTGGTGTTGGGACGATAAATACATGCCTGGGACACATGAAAACAATCTCTCCGTGAATTAAAGTGAGGTGTTGGTAGTACGCTGTGATGCGCGTGAGTCTGTACAGACTCGACCGCACGTTAGGCTACCCGTTTGGCCTTTCCTCGAGGCAAGTTTCGGTGAGATGTGGGCGGGTCCATTTTTCTTTTACTCTTCACCTCGCTTCAACCCACTCTGAAAACCGCTGTTATTCACCTATACATTTCATTCCACCTCACTCAATTGATGCGTATTCTTTTCACATGTGAAGCATCCGAATTTCAGCTTTTCCAGGCATCATATCCACGTCATGACGGCACATGAGGAATCGTGGGACCTCGACACCGATGAGATTCGCTCCGTCGACTCTGAAGAGCTTTATGAGACCAGACCCAACCGCTGGAAGGGCAACAAGGCGACATGGAACACCTACACGCAGGAGGAGCGACTCCTCCATCGCTCCATGGAGAAACTCCGGAATCGCGACTTATCGGTGCACCTGTATAACGCATTCGCGCTCCGGAACCGTGCAGTACGCCCCAGCGCCGCGGGACAGCCTGAGGAAGCGGTAGGTTTAGAGAGCAGCGCCGTCTCATTCCCACGACCCAGTTCCATATCGCTGACCATTCTTTTTCTCAGGACACTGATAGACCGCTGGAAGAAATCGTCGACAGCGGCGAATGGCGCCCGCCGAATCTATGGACGGCGTGGCCCATGAACTCGCGCATCGTGCCGGGCGACGACTTTCTAAAGGAAACTCACGATGAGGACGACGAATTCACCACGCGCTCCAGGAACGAACAGCTCCCCAGCACAGCGTTAGAAGAGGAATTGACGGCTACGATTTTACGCCAGGCGAAAGAGCGGTTTCTTCGCCGGCAGCGCAAGGCTCGAGAGCGAGAGGAAGCTGCGAGGACGCGGGACGAATCCGCCAACGAGAGGGCGGCGGCGTCTTCCATGTCTGCGCACTCATCCGCGGTCTCTGACGAAGACGACGAAGACGAAGAAGGGAACACGCCTCCGCCATCAGGACAAGGCGCGCAAGCGGCGGGGACGTCCGACGTAGAGGTCGAAAGGCCGAAGCGCAGCAAGACGTACGAACCAGTCGTCTCCGCCAACGACGAGCTCTCTGCCGACCTCCTCCGCCCTTCGGTCCGTCATATCCTATCTACCTTGGACGACACCCTCACGGCTCTCCACAACGCCCGCCTCGCGGGCCTAAGCTACATGACCGACTCGTCCGCCTCCGCGACCGACGTGGAGGACGACAACGCCTCGGACGCAGCTAGCGTCTCGTCCGCGGCGTCACGAGCGAGCTCATCGGCGTCGAAGCGTAAGAAGAAGGGTCGGCCGCGGAGCAAGGCGCCCAGAACCCCGGAGCCCGAGTGGACGAGGGCGCTCGAGAGGAGAGGGCGACCGAAGAAGGTGGCGGTCCCGCTGCCGGGAGAGACGGAGAAGGAGATGAAGATCCGGATTGCGAGGGCGTCGAAGAAGAGGATCCCGTTCTCGTCGGACGAGGAGGACGCAGCTGCTGCTGCTGAGACGGAAGGGGAGGATGCCGTCGTGAAGAAGGATGAAGAGGGATCGGGGGTGGAGACGTCGAGGTCGAGGCCGCCGAGGAAGAGGCGTGATTTGCCGGCCGAGGCGCGGGCTGAGGCCAAGATCAAGGCGCGGGAGACGATGCTTGGGAATTGGGGGCTGCGGGACTGGAGCGATGTCGTTGGCGCGGCGTCGCTTTCTGGCTTCAAGCCTGATGTTGTCGCGAGGGCGGCGCAGCGGTGTGCTGATCTGTTCGGGCAGGGGATGGAGATGCGGACTCTGTTCGAGGGGCCCGCGACGAAAGGGCCGAAGCCGCAGACGACGCGGTACGTCCCCGGTGGAGGCAGCAGCAGCAACCGTCGTGGCGGTGGTGGTGCTACTGCCCCGTACGCGGGGGCGTCCAGCTCAGAAGACTCGGAGAAGGAGAGGCCCGTCGTGAAGGCACGGCGTTTCGGGGCGGCATCTTCTCGACAGAATAGTCTGGCGCGCGACAGTATCCCACCCAGCGACTCTGACGCCACGGGACGAGGACGGAGCACGACGGCAGCGGCGGCAGCGAGACGATCGCGGAGCGCATGCCGCGCGTCGTCTGTGGGGTTCTTCTACTGTCCCGTATCGGGCTGCGAGCGCTCGCTGGAAGGGTTCGGGCGGAGGGCGAATCTGCAGCGGCACGTGGCGACGATGCATCCGGGCCGGGTAGGAGATGCTTTGGGCGGCAGTGGCGGCGGGGGGAGCGACCGCTTCGACGTGGAGAGCGAGGACGAGATGGCGGGTGCTGTGCACGTTGACGGGTTCATGAGGCCTATTCGGGCGAGGAAGGGGTGGAGGGCCGAGGATACGGGGAAGAGGAAGCGGAAGAGGCATTATCGGGGGCGGAAGAGGGATGAGAGCGATGGTGGGAGTGAGATTGGGGAGGCTGTGTTGGATTCTACGTAAGAACACTCGCCTCGGTTCCGGTGCTATCGTGGTGTGGTGATTCTCTCGTGCAAACAATCTACGGATGCTATCTCCCTGATGCGTAGTTTCAAGACCGGCATGGCCTGGCAGGGAATACTCTCACAAATGAAACGGGAGCCAATGCCGCCTTGAAAAACTCGAGTTTCCCTCTCTCTAACTTCACGGCGAACACACGGGCACATGAAAAATTCACAGATACTGCCACCCTCGGGTTTTGTGATGGTAGCAAACACATTTGATCTCAAGTCCACGTGTGGTCCGGGAGTCTATACAGATACCAACCTTGTAACCTCCAAGTTAATGAAAGCATGCTCTGGCCCCTAGTAGCGTGAAGGAATGTACATGGCAATCTGGCACAGGAGGTAGACGACACCATGGGAGGAGCATCACTCCTCTTCGATGAGCCTCGAAACAGTAGATTTGCCCTCGATCTTCGTCAGTTGGGGGTGAAACCACATGTAAGAAGGGAATACTACAAAGCAGGTAAGAGATCGCTCATGAAAATGGTCTTTTTGAACAGTAGAATAACCAACTCCTATTCCCAAGGGTTGCCCGCTAAAACACACATTTCTTTCACATCATTTTTGGCTACCGCCCCCAGCATCTCCCTCTACTTCTGCAGAGGCTGGCCCATACCGCCGTACGTCACCATCTTGGTGACCTGGTACTCGGAAACACCCAAGAGCGACCCCTCTCTCCCGAACCCAGACTCCTTGACACCACCAAACGGCGCCGCCGGATCCGAAATCAAGCCCGTGTTGACGCCCACCATACCGACCTCAAGATGCTCGGCGACGCGGTGCACGCGCTGAATGTCCCTCGAGAAGAAGTACCCCGCCAACCCGACATTCGTCGCGTTCGCCAGCTTCACGACCTCCTCTTCCGTCTCAAACTTGAACAGCCCCGCAACGGGACCGAACGTCTCCTCGCTCGACATGGCCATGTCCTTGGTCATACCCGTAATAACGGTCGGCTCGTAAAAGTTGTGGCCCAGCTTGGAAATCTTGTTCCCGCCCACGACGACTTTGCCGCCTTTCTGCTCCGCGTCGCGGACGTGGGATTCCACTTTGTCGATGGCGCGGTCGTGGATCAAGGGGCCGTGGGTGGTTCCCTCCTCGAAGCCGTTGCCGACCTTGAATTCCTCCACCTTTGCGGCGAATTTCCGCGCAAACTCGTCGTAGACGCCGCTCTGGATGTACAACCTGTTCGCGCACACGCACGTCTGGCCCGAGGACCTGAACTTGGAGGCGATCGCTCCGGCCACCGCGGCATCGACGTCGGCGTCGTCAAAGACGATGAAGGGGGCGTTGCCGCCGAGTTCCATGGAGAGCTTTTTGAGGGTGCCGGAGCACTGCTTCATGAGGAGCTTGCCGACGTTTGTGGAGCCTGTGAAAGAGATCTTCTTGACGGTCGGGTTGGTGGTCAGAGCCTCGCCGACTTCGGGGGTGTTGTCGAGCGAGGTGACGACGTTGACGACGCCGGCGGGGATGCCGGCGCGGTGGCCTAGTTCGGCGATGGCGAGGGAGGTGAAGGGGGTTTCGCCGGGGGCTTTGCAGACTACGGTGCAGCCTGTCGCGAGGGCGGGGCCGATTTTGCGGGTGATCATTGCGGCGGGGAAGTTCCATCTGTGGTGTGTTAGTCTGAGAACCGTTTTCTACACAGGAAACAAGAGGGGGACATACGGTGTGATGAGACCGCAGACACCAACGGGCTCCTTGATTGTCCAGACGCGGTTCCCAGGGACGGAGGAGGGGATGGTGTCACCGTAGATACGGGGAGCCTCCTCGCTGAACCACTCGAAAAAGTTGGCGGCGTAGGTGACCTCACCCTTGGCGTCGGCGACGGGCTTGCCGTTCTCCCAGGTGATGAGGGTGGTCAGGTCCTCTGCGTTCTCCATCATGAGGTCGTACCACTTGCGCAGCAGCTTGGAGCGCTCGCGGCCCGTCTTAGTGCGGAAGGTCTCGAACGCGGTGGCGGCGGCGGCGATGGCGGCGTCCGTGTCAGCTGCGGAGAACTCGGGGCATGATGCGATCTTGGTGCCGGTGGCGGGGTCTGTATGGTTGTTAGTCTCCTGTCTTTTCCATGATTTTCCATACATGTCTAGATATATGCACAAAGTCAGGATTGTAAGGGGGGAGGGGGATATACCGGTCACGTCAAAGGTCTTGCCAGACTTTGCCTTTACCCATTCGCCGTTGACGTAGCAGACATCCTGCTTCAGGAGCGAAGGGTCTTTGAGCTGTGTGAAGTGTGAGTGAGTGAGATTTCCTATGAGATTGATCGAGTGCAGCTGAGATGTTACGGGTGGTATATTACGTACCTTGGGAACCATGGTTGAAGCGGCTCTAAGAGTAAATGGAATATACGGTGTCCGGACAGATCGGAAAATGGTTCTGGGTACAAATCGTGACGCCGGGGCGACTGCTCTCTGTAGTGTAATGGGCATGGTGATGGAGCGGGAAAATGGACGAAGCTCTTGGCTCGTTTGTTGATAAAGGCCGTGGGAAGTGCGGGGAGCTTAGCTATCCGTCTGGTCTAAAGGGAATTAAGCTTCTAGCTTGGGGTCCTATGAGGATGACGCGCTCAAACGCTTCCCTTAGACGCTGGATTGACAATTGAGGTGTGTGAGATGCGGTTGCAGCTGTCAATGATCTTCAACGGCAGTTATCAACGACTCAATTGGCGAATTTTGGGTGAGCGACAACGGAGACGTGGTGAGAGAGCTGGGTGTCACTGTGTCGGTGGTGAGTGGCAGAGGTACCGGGTGACGTTCGATGACGTCCACCCCACTTTGTTGACCGGCCCGGTTGGGCTTACCGCAGACCGGCACGGAGGTGGCTGGTGGGCGGTGTTAGGGTGCTGCACCTCGACAGGGCGGGGTCACTAACAGATGACATACCTACTTATGTAGGTACTTACTTCTTGTACCTGAATCTGATATCTGAGTACGTACATTGTGCCAGCCACGGCCCGGCAACCGAGGACCGCAGACAAGAGCTCAAAGATGTTCCTGCCTTTGATGGCGCCTGCAATTGTTCCTGGGTAAGGTGTCTGTCTTCAGGTATACGTACCTGCAAAGTAGGCAGGCGGCTCTTCTAGAGCTCCAGCTGTGTTGAACTTGATATATGGATACTTCGTCTTCGTGGTATCTACCTCAGAGAACTTATAAGGCACAGAATGAACTGATCTGATCAGCCAAGCGCACGCTCCAGCTGTTCATCTCATCTTCTGTCAAGTCACGTAAGGAAAAGAAAGCTCAACTTGACCTAGGAACCTTGATTCCACTTGCTCAATTGGTAGTCTACGGTACTCATTCATAGGCCAGCCTTCAAAAATCCCCAGTATAGGGCGAGCCTCGCTTCCTTAGTAGTCAAATACGCATGGGAATAGTAATTCCCGATCCTGCAGCAACAACCCTGGCAAACAGACCAGCGCAGGCCAAGTCGTCACTGCATCCCCCCGCGTTGATCTCGCCCGTTCCGACAGCGTAAGCGACCTGCATGCCGTCACGTTCCCATGCCGCTTGCCAAATCATGGCCATCGCTCGCTATTCTATTTCCTTGCTTCTCCTCACCTTCCTTTCAGCTAGCACGCTGCAAATCTCCCCTTGGCGACAACTTTTAAAAATGACCAGCTATAATCTCCACGACGGCGCCGTTGCCCACCCATGCGGGGAAGCTTATTCTCACTTCACTCTCTCTCACCGACATTATCCCCGCTGAGATAGCCGCCGTTTCTTTCCTGCCAGCCATCATGTCGTCTGTCATCAGATCCGTAGGCTCGGCCCTGGGTGACGAGCTCGAGTGCTTGTTCTCTGCCTTTTCGCCTTGGTTCTATGCACTCAAGCTGCCCTCTGCCCTGACCGCCGCCGTTGAACTACTTGTCGTAGGCGCCGTCAATGTCACTGTCCCCGGTCCCAAGGAGGCGAGTCCCGTCTTTGATGCCTTTGTGAGCTACTCGCTCGAGTTTGCCTTTTTCCCAGATTTTGCTGGTACGTTTACGCCATACAAGACACCCTGACAAAGTAAAATGTCACTCATCATGATATTCCAGGAAACGCCTCGGCACCAAACAAGTTCTCAGAGAACCTGCTCGCCAACTTAGGTAACCTACAAGGCGTCCGCCCTTACATCCGCGTAGGCGGGAACACCCAAGACTATGCCCTCTATGATGAATTTCTCCCCTACGCCGTGAATGGCACCTACGATCTCGCTAGGTCAAAGGACTACCCAACCACCATCCACATCGGCCCCTCCTTCTTTGAATCGTACAGTACTTTCGAGGACACCAAATTCACCCACGGCTTCAACCTAGGCCTGGGCGGCAACCGCTCAGAAGGATGGGACACCCTCAAAGCTACCGTTCCGTTGGCCTGCAAGGCCATCGGCAAGGACAACCTCGACGTCTGGGAATACGGCAACGAGCCGGACCTCTTCTCCACCTCGGCCCAGGGCCCCGTCCGCCCTTCGTCCTGGAACGAGACTATCTATGTGGAACAGTGGCTAAATGGCACCCGTGAGATCGCCGCCGTCCTCGCGGAAGCGTGTCCCGATTTTCCCAAGCCCGTCTTCATGGCGCCTTCCAACGCCGGCACCGCCAATCGGCTCCGTGCACCAGCGCAGTGGGCCGCCGGCCTGAATACCGATGACAACGTCGCCCTCTTCTCGACGCACAACTACATCAGCGGTGCCGAGAGCCCTGGCGTGACGCTCCGGGGCACGCTGATGAACCACACCCGCACCGTGCAGTCCGTCCAGGCTCATGTGAAGGAGTACGCCAACCTCACGGGCCGCTTCGACGATGTGCCGCCTCATATCTATGGAGAGCACAATTCGCTGTACAACCAGGGCAAGCCGGGGCTCTCAAACTCGTTTGGCGCCGCACTGTGGGGCGTCGACTTTAACCTTTATGCTGCGTCCCAGGGAATCAAGCGCGTCCACATGCACATGGGCACCGACTATCGTGTAAGACCTCCTTCGTCCCTCTTCACGGGGATCATGCTGATATCTGACATCCACACAGTACCAAAGCTGGCAACCCGTCCACACAAACATCACCGCCCTCGGCACAAAAGCCCCTTACTACGGTAACATCGCCATAGCAGCCTTCCTCGCCCCGTCAAAGTCCTCCCCCACAACCCCAGTCTCTGTAGCCCACATCCCCCTCCCATCCTCTGACCAAGAGACAATATCCGCCTACGCGGCCTACCACGGCGATACCCTCTCCCGCATCCTCGTCATCAACCTCACCCCGCACAACTCCACCGTCAACGGCACGGGCACGACGCCCGACCCGAATAGCAATTCCATTCGCGGGGTTAAGGTGTACAGTTTCGCCGTACCGTGGGCCAATGATGTATTCGCCAATGTGCGGCGGCTGGCTGCGAACGGGAGCGATGCCATCTCGGGGGTTACGTGGGATGGGTGGAGTTACAATTACGAGCTGGACGAGGGCAAGCCTGTGAGGTTGGGAAATGTCACTGTGGGTGAGACTACGATTGTGAATGGGGGGAGGGTTACTGTTGCTGTGAGGGATAGCGAGGCTGTTGTTGTGAGTCCTGTTTTGGGGTGTAGGGCGAAGAAGAGATTGTGAATGCCGTCCTGTACTTTATTTCATGATGATTCGATCCATATTCACTTCTCTCGCGACTAGCCATTGTCTTCCGTTTCTGACACAACAGTCCACAACCACATCCCAACACCACAAGATCAAACAAGCAACTCCACCAACAACCTCACCTCTTCTCCCCAAACTGCCTCTCCACCTCCCTCGCAAACTCCCCAATAGTATCAAACCGCCACTCAAACCCAACATCACCCTTCGTCTCCTCCCAATCCCCTCCCACCCCTTCCCCGTCCTTGGCATCGCCGCCCCTCGAGATCCAAACGCTTCTTAACCCAAACTTCTTGGCGGGGACGTGGTCGGCAGTCAAACTGCGCGCAACGTGCAACAGCCCCTCCCCCCCTTCGTCATCCCACTTCACCCCAAACTCTTCCTGCACATGCTCAAACAGGTAGAAGAAGTTGCCGTCGGCGGGTTTGTAGCTTCCGATTTGCTCTGCTGTATACACGGCATCGAACGCCACGGGCGAGAAGTGTTTTAGGGTGTGAGAGATGTTCGAGGCGTCAATGTTGGAGAGGATGATTAGTTTGTAATGTCTCTTCAAGATCTCCAGTCCGGGGATGGTATCCTCAAAGGGGGCCCAGGTCCCCGGGAGCGAGCCAAAGGCCGTGGCTTCTTCTTCCGTCACGGAGACGCCGAGTTCTGCTGCGAGGGTGCGGAAGGAGGAAGAGAGGTTGAGGTCGTAGCGGAGGGTCGGGGAGGAGGATTGCAGGGCCGCGGAGAGGGTGTCGAAGCGTCTTGTGAGGGATGCTTCTGTGGGAGGTGCGTCGCCGGCGGAGGAGGAGGAGGAGGGAGGAGGAAGACGGGAGATGATGGGTTCGAGACCGGCGCGGAGACCGGATTCCCAGTCGATTAGGGTACCGTAGCAGTCAAAGGAGAGGGCTTTGAATTTTGTGAGGTCTGGGTAGGTGGACATTTTGGGCAGGTAATAGGGAGGTGAGTGGGTAGATGGGTAAGTAGTTGTGAGAGAGGATATATGTTGGGGTAGGATGGAGAGAGGAGGGTGTCTTGGACCGGGCACAAAGTCTGTCAATACCATTCAAGTCTAGGCATGAGATAGTTGTGAGGGAAAAGATGTCAACATTCAAGATGGAAACAAAAGAGAAAGAAACAAGAAGAGAGAGGTTTGACAAAATACCAGCGTTTTATACCAGTTCTCAGGAAACACGGAGGTGGTGTAGTGTAGTACCAACTCAGCACCTCATCCTCAAGGGCGCGGATGACGAGCGGGGAGATCGCCACCTCGCAGCACACAGCACATCATTACCCTCCCCCAAAGCTCATCATATCCGACAGTCTACCCATCTATTCCTCTCTGGGCTATACGAATAGAAACTTCACAAGCTTGAAAGTATAGTCAACGGTAAAAGTCAAATGGTAGCAAACAACGTAGAATTAAAATACGTCCTCAAAAGAAGTGTCATGGGTATCAACAATACCAATAAGCCTGCCTTTACACGCCATAATCCTACCCAATCGAATGTAAAACCTCAAAAACCCCGTAATCGCCATTTGCACAGTTCAATTCCATCAACAATAATCCCTTCTCGGCGCCCAAAACCACTTCACTAACAATCACCTAATTCAACCGCGGGCTCTTCCTTCTGGGCCCCAAGCTCGACGAAAAGGACGAAGGGGGCAGATTCTCCCGCCCCTCGATGGGAAGCAAGCTAGCGTGCTTGCGACCCTTCACCACGGGCCGCGTCGAGGTCCGCTTGCTAAACAGCAGCGGCGCCGTGTTCTCGTTGATGGACATGATGCTCGTCGCCGGGTCGAAGCCGTGGTTACCGGTCGTGTTGGGGTTCACTTCGCGAAGGCTCATGTTAAAGGGGGGCATCTCCGAAATCATGCTAAGGGCCGACATACGAGTCGACGTGCGCGCCGGTGGCGGTGACCGGGACATGTCGTTTTCTGTGTCCGAGAAGACCATGGCCTCGGGCGCGGGCTTGGTGGGCGTCGCGGAATCGCTGAGCTCGGCGAGGAGGGCCTCGTGCGCTTCGGTCCGGGGCAGGTCGGTTGGGTACCGGTACTGGACCTTCATCGGCGTCTCTCCTGTCGGGCGGTACTCCTGGATGGTTGTTGTTTCGATATCCTCCCGGAGCGCAGTCAATGGCTTCGACAATTGCTGGGTCAACGGGTCCAGGCCTTGCAACATCTCCTCGGTTTCGGTCTCCATCTCCTCGCCGAGGTCATGGACACGGTCAAAGGTAGTCTTGAAGTGGCTCGAAATGTTGCCGAAAGACTTCTCCACAGTAGACGACAAGCCCTGCATGGACTCGTTGTGGCGTTCGTGATGCGAGGCGTTTTCGGAACGAGCGCGGGTGACGAAGTCGTCCAACGCTTCCATTTGAACGTCAAGATCCTTCAGTTGCTCGTCCACGACACGAACAGTCTCGGCGTGAACCGACTTCGTGGTTGCTTGAATGGCCGTGCTGTGCTCCTCGGCGACCTAGTTGTAGATTAGCATCTTGTTCAGCCATTCACAGGGTCTTTTCCACTTACCGTCCAGTCATCCTTCAACTTCTTCTTCATCGCGTCACGAGACTTGGCCACATCAACAAGGAAGTGGCTCTCCTTGGTATCCCACGCGCCCATATCCTCAGAATACTGTGTCACGGTGTCTTGCAGCGTCACATTCGTGGCCAAGACCTTCTTCTGCAGCTGCGCAGTCTTCTCGGCAAGGCGCGTCTCTTGAGTTGTCGCCTGAGCATTAATCAGAGATGCAATCTGAGTCAACAAATTCTGTCGGTCCAGTGCCGCTTGCTTCCTCTCCTCATCTAATACTCGCTGCATCTGGGCCGAGGTGGTCTCGTTCTCCTCGATAACATTATTGGTTGCGCTCTCGAGTTGTTGTCTGAGTTTGTCGGATTCGCTTCGCTGTTCCGTGATGTGCTTCACGAGTTCCTCAAACATGCTCTTGAACTCCTTGCCCAAAGAGCTATACGAAGAGTGCAACTGCAGACATGTTAGCTTTCAAGACCGACCAAAGGTATCCGTACTGTCTTACCTGGCTGTGGAAAGTGTCGAGCTCGCTGAGGACATCTGCAGCAATGCGCTCCGCAGCACCAGCAATGGCATGGAGACTCTCTCCAACCTGCTGCTTGACGGTGTCGCGCACGACTTTGATCTCCTCGAGAACGTCATCCATCTCGTCCTTGGACTTTTCGTTCTGCTCCAAAAGTTGCTTCCTCGATTCCGCAAAGGAGTCGAGCTGTTCGTCGAGAAACTGCTGGGTAGAAGATAGCTTTCCCAACTCTTCACTGACAAAAGCGTTCATGCGCTCAGAGATACCCGAGATATTTTCCCGCTGCTTCTCCTGGAAACTCTGTACACGCTGCTCCACCAAGTTCGTCACCTCAGACACTTCGGCTTGTGCTGTGCCCCAAGCGCTTCGGTTGATGGACTGAAGCTCCGACTTTCTCTTGTTCTTCGCTCTGAGACCATCCACATCGTGGACCGTCTTCTGCAGGGTTGCGATGAGTTCTCCGCCGACTTCGGCCAGCTTCTCCTCGGTTTCCTGGTGAGCCTTGCGAAGGTGAGTCTCCTCGGCGAGGCTCCTTATTGTGGCCTGAAGCACGACCTCAGTCTGTTCGAGAACTTCCTGGGTCTCATCGAGCTCAGCCTTGGTGCCTTCGTGGTCCTTCCGCAACCCCATGAAGCTAGATGTCAGAGCGAAGAGCTCCTGCACCTTGTTCTTCAGGTTACCCTCGAGAGTCTCCATCTTGGCTGCCTGCTCCTCCATAACAATGCGTCGCGATTCGCTCTGGGCCGTCATCTCCTCGTAGCTCTCGTTGGAAAGGTAAACACCGTTGCGCTGTCTGGTCGTAATCAGCTCGCTCTTGAGCCTCTCAATCTCCGTCGCAAAGTCCCTGAGAAGCATTCTCTTGTTGATCATCGCGTTCATCTGCGGCTTGTTGCGAATGTTCTTGGCTCGGAATGCATAGTCTAGTGTTGAGATCGTCTCCTCGAGGTTGCTCTTCGCCGGCGAAATGGTGGCAATGATACAAGTCTTCGTCTGTCCACCCAAGGAATCTTGCAAAAGTCTGGTGAGCTTCGACTCTCTGTAAGGAATATGCTGGCCCTTATCAACCAACGCGTTGATGACTCGACCGAGGGTCAAAAGACTTTTGTTGATCAAGCCCGCCTCAGCAGCCCGCTTGTTCTCCGCCCCGGATCGTTGAATGTTCTCACTACCGGCCAAATCGACGAGGTTGAGCTTGCCGGCGCTAACGTAGTCGTCACTTCCATCCTCGCCCTTCTTGCGGACGTAGGCGGTAACAGTGAAGACCGTGTGACTTCGGGAACTGAGGTCGTTGCACTTTGTCGCCGCGACCTGGCGCTTCAAGCTTCCATCCTGAAGAACCTTGATACCTTCACCGGCGTTTCTAATGTGTCTCTCCTCCATACCCTGCACCACTGTCGTCGCGTGTCTTCTTGATGTGTCGTCAAAAATCTTCAGCTTCGGGCCGTCCTCGACAGCGATCAAATCGCGTAATTCTTCGTTGTAGAGTTCGATGAAGGAGCACTTGACGCAGCTTTCGGTGTCGTCCACTTCGAGTTTGTTGAATAGCGCGTGGAGAGCTCGGGGGATGATGCCGGCATTATCAGATAGAAGGCCGAGAGTTTCTGTCATGTCACCTGACATGGTGTATGTCTTGCCTGTACCAGTCTGGCCGTAGGCGAAGATTGTGCAGTTGAAGCCAGCGAGCATCTACACAATGTTAGCCAAGTCTCATTAGCCAGGTAACATCCTGGACGCACCTCATCCAAGATGGGCTTGACGGTATCATCAAAGACCATAGTCTGATCCGCCGCCGCAGAAAAGACGCGATCAAAGTTATACGTCTTGTTGCTCAGCGCGTTCGGGCCGAGCTTCAGCTCGACATTCTTGCCCTTTGCGCCATCAGCCTGAACGACGACGGCGCTGTTCTCCTTAACCTCGCGATCGTTGCGGCCTCTACATCGGACGA